CGCCTCCTCCTCCTTCTCCTCTTCCTCCCTCCTCCCTCCTCCCCCCCCTCTTCCTCCTCCTCCTCCCTCCTCCTCTCCTCCCCCTCCTCCTCCTCCTCCTCCTCCTCCTCCTCCTCCTCCTCCTCCTTTCCCCTCCTCTCCTCCTCCTCCTCCTCTCCCTCCTCCTCCTCTCTCCTCATCCTCCTCCTCCTCCTCCTCCTCTCCTCTCCTCCTCCTCCGCCTCCTCCTCCTTCCTCCTCCTTCCTCCTCCTCCTCCTCCTCCTCCTCCTCCTCCTCCTCCTACTCCTCCTCCTACTCCTCCTCTCCTCCTCCTCCTCCCCTCCTCCTCTTCCTCCTCCCCCGCACTGCCCAAGAGCGCACCTCCCCAGTGCTCCCCCGAGCATTTCCCCAACAGCACGCGGGAGCACGCAGTCCAGCGTGCTCGCCGCCGTGGTGTGGCAGCGACCTGTGCGGGGCCTCGGCTCCTCAGCTCCGCACTGCCCAAGAGCGCACCTCCCCAGTGCTCCCCCGAGCATTTCCCCAACAGCACGCGGGAGCACGCAGTCCAGCGTGCTCGCCGCCGTGGTGTGGCAGCGACCTGTGCGGGGCCTCGGCTCCTCAGCTCCGCATCGCCTGTGAATCTGAATGGCCACGGCCTGCGGCCTGCCTGCTGGCATGGCCCGAGGCGTTCTGCCCAGCGGGGCGGGCGTTCCTCCCCTCCTCTCGCTCTCCTCCTCCCTCTCTCTCTCCTCCTCCTTCCTCCTCTCCTCCTCCTCCTCCTCCTCCTCTCCTCCCTCCTCCTCCTCCTCCTCCTCCTCCTCCTCCTCCTCCTCCTCCTCCTCCTCTCCTCCTCTCTCTCCTCCTCCTCTCCTCCTCCCCCTCCCCCTCCCCCTCCTCCTCCTCCCCCTCCTCCCTCTGCGCCCAGGCGCCTCACCCCTCTGCGCCAGGCTGCGATCCGCCGCCCCGCGCGCGGCGGCAGCGGGGCTCGGACAGGCGCGCCTCTTCGGCGGCGCCTCGGTCGCCCGGAGCGGAGAGGGGGGGAAAGCAGCAGGGGCTCGAGCAGGAGACCAGGAGGGGGGCGGGGGCGGGGGCGGGGAGGGGGGCGTGGACGCGGAGGGCGAGGAGCGAACGGGGAAAGAGGGAGGTGAGGGCGTGAGGCAGGAGGTGGAGGAGGAAGAGGAGGAGGAGGAGGAGGAGGAGGAGGAGGGGAGCGCAGAGGGAAGAGGAGGACCAAGAGGAGGAGGATCAGGAGGAGGAGGAGGGGGCGAGGTGAGATTCAAGGTGAAGGAGGATGGGGGGAGGCGGCCAAGCACAAGGGGGAAAACGCAGAGGCTGAGGAAGAGGAGGACAACGACGACGACGGCGGCGGCGACGAGAAGCTGGATGGTAGAGGAGGAGAGGGAGGAGGAGGAGGAGGAGGAGGAGGAGGAGGAGGAGCTGGATAGTAGAGGAGGAGAGGGAGGAGGAGGAGGAGGAGGAGGAGGAGGAGGAGGAGGAGGAGGAGGAGGAAGAGGAGCGAGGAGAAGGAACGAGGAGGAGGAGGAGAAAGCGGAGAAGACGGAGTGAACGGAGGAGGAGGTGGAGGAGGAGAAGGAGGAGGAGGAGGAAACAAAAAGGGAGGATGGACAGGAATGTAGGGAAGGACGGCAGCAGCAGAAGGAGGGGCCGACGGCGAGAGTCCGCAGGAGCTGACCGCCATGGCCGCGGCGAGAAGGGCGCAGCAGCCGCTGAAGGGTGCGAAGGACGCGCAGGAAGCTCCCCGCCACCCTGCCCGTCTCTTCCTCCCTCCTTCTTGCCCTCCTCCTCCTCCTCCACCTCCTTGTTCTTCGTTCGTCCTCCTCATCCTCATCCGTCTCTTTCCTCCTTCTCGTCTTCCTCCTTATCCTCGTTCCTCATCTTCTTATTCCTTATACTCATCTTTCTCCTCCTCATCATCATCATTCATCCATCCATCCATCCACCCACCCTCCCATCCATCCATCCCCATCCCCATCCCCATCCCCATCCCCATCCCCATCCCCATCCCCATCCCTCCTCCTCCTTCTCCTCCTCCTCCTCCTCCTCCTCCTTCTCCGTGGCATCTCGTGGGGAGCTTCTCGGGGTCCTCTTGGAGGCAGTTTGGACGCCTCTTGGGGGCCGTTTGGGAGCCTCTTGGGGCCTCTTGGGGGGCCTCTCGGAGGCCTCTTGGGGCCTCCTGGGGGCCTCTTGGGGCCTCCTGGGGCTCTCTTGGGACCTGTTGGGGGTCTCTTGGGGGCCTCGTGGGGCGGAAAGCTCGTCTTGGGGCCCTCTTGGGCAGTTTTAGGCGCCTCTTGGGCTGACTTGGGGCCCTCTTGGTCAGTTTTGGGGCCCTCTCGGATGCCTCTTGGGCTGTCTTGAAGCGGTCTTGGGGGCCTCCAGGGCCGTCCAGGAGCGCCGGGAAGCCGAAAAGGCGAGAACGCCAAAATCTGACAAAAAACTTCCGGCACATCAATGATTTGGGCATCTTTGGGCACTCTTGGGAGTCCTTTTTGAAGGCTTGTTTGGGAGTCTTGGAGGCCATTTGGGCCGGCGGGTGGATACCTTGGTCTTGGAGCGATCGTTCGGCGACTCGGGGCCTCCATGGACCGTTTTGGGGGCGTCTTGGGGCCCTTTTGGCCCGTCTTGGCCCCAGGGGAACCGCGCCAGGCCCCGAGAGATGCGAGTCAAAGGGCACTGAGGACACGCCCAGTCCGTGCCCAGCGCGCGGTGGCGGATCATACACGCCGGTCATTGAAAGTAGGTATTTCTGGATTCCCAGATCCCAATCTACTTCAAGCGCCTTCCTACTTCAAGAATCGGCACGCTTCTGCTGTGTTCTGTTATTCTCTGGGGGGGCCTGGACCCAATCAACTGAATCCGCCTTCCTACTTCATGTCTTTACCTACTTCTTCCGACCGGCGTGTACTGATCATGCGGCTCAGCACGTTCCATGTGGCCTCTCCAGGCCATGGACCCGTGGACGCGATGCGCGGCTCGCGTGACGGTTGGCAGATCCCTGAGAAGCTCGTTTCGAGCACGGGCGAGCCACTCGCACGCGATGGCCCTCGAGGTGCTTGCAGATCTCGTTCTGCAGAGGAGGCAGGGGCTCTGTGAGCGACACGCCGAAATCTGTGTCAGGGATCAGGGCATTCCGACGTCGACAACGTTATCTTGGCTGGGGCTAGGAGCGCGAGCAGGCAGAACCCAGACGCTACCAATGCGGTTGCAGAGGACTAGGGGCCGAAGCCCCCCGGCGAGCCATCGTGACGAGCCTGTCTGGACACGAATCTCACGGAGCAGCTGAGGACCTCGATGCATTCCTGCATCGCCTTGCTGCAGCAGCAGACAATGCGACGAGCGCGCGGCGCTCGCGCAGAAGTTCCGCGGAAGGGCGCCGATGAGGAATTCTGTTTCGCCGCGGCCTCGGAAGCGCAGGGGCCGAGATCATCCGCAGCGAGTGGCCGCGCAGAGAGGCGGGCGAGCTTCCCCAGCGGGCAGCGAGCGCATGCTCCGGGCATCGCTCCCCCACCCCTTCCCTCCCATCCCTCGCCCCCCCCCCGCTCTCCCCACCCCCTCCCTCGCCCGACAACCGGCGAAATAGCTCACCCATTCGCCTGCTCTGCTATTGGCAGCGACGAGCAACGCGCTCTCGAGGAAAGCATCGAGCGAGCCTACCGCGCCCACGTGGACGCGGCCGACGCGGCCGATTATGTCGACGAGCTTTTCGACTTCGCAAATCAGGCAACGCACGAGCACCACAGCAGCGCGCCGCAAGAACAGGACAAGGCAGCCACGGGGCACGGCAAGCCTCAAGTCCTCATGGGCGCCCACGCTGCCCCGATGGCCAGCCCAGAGCACGGGCCACCAGCCGAGCGGCGAACGACAGAGAAAAGATCCCCTGGCAAGTCAGACCCGTCTAGACGGGCCTTTCTGCCACGTCAGATCCATCAAGACGGGCCTCGCTGCCCACCGTCACCGCGCGGACCACCGCGGCGCCCGCCGCCCAGCCTCCCCGGCAGCCGACGCGCTCGCCGCGAGGGCCCAGCCCTCCGATCTCATCGAGTGCCTTCGCACTTCGGACCGCGACGAAATCCCGACTGACCTGCGGCTGGACGATCGCGCCCTCGCCAACGCTGCTCAGCCGAGACGCCTCTCGCCATCCGAAGCAGACAACCGCTTGAAAGCTTGCAACAGCCGCGCGTGAGCAAAGGATGGGGGCGGAGCCAACGACTCAATGGGTCAGAGCAGCCGATTACTCCAACGCCTCTCTGCCTTCGCATCTGCCTTCGCACGCCCCGCCACGGCCCCCCGCGCGCGCCGCCGGGCGCCGACGGCCGACGAGATCGCGGCGGGGGCTCGCCAGCGCAGGACACCGACGCCACCGCCGCGCCCAGCGACTCCGCCGACGACGGCGACAGCGACGACCGCCCAGCTCTGGGCCAGACTGAACCAGGCCAGAGCCCGGCGGACCCCAGCGCCGCGATCGCACCGGGACCGCGCCGCGGGGATGCAGCGCGACGAGGTCGCACCCACATGGGAAGCATTCCAAGCGGAGTGCCACCAGGAACACGAGATTGATTCCTGCGCCTTTTCGCCAGAGCGCCATGGGCCGCTCGGCAGACGGGCTAAGTGCCCGAACAGCCTTCTCACGCCCAACATTCGCTCGCGCAAAGGGAAAGGCCAACTCTCCGCGGACCAGAGGCTGCCGTCCGCGATGCCCATCTGAACGCACGCCGGGGAAGCGGCAGCATGCCGCAGCCAGGCGCCCTAGAGAGTTGGGCCCACCCGATTTGGGGCCGCCCCAGACGTTGCCGCGAGCGATGTCAGCACCGCGCGCGCACTTCTAGCGGCGCTCGCGGGGCGCCTTACAATCCAGCTGGCGGGCGAGGCGCTGCGCGGGTAAATGTTTGTTGATTACCTCGTCACCGACGCCTGTCTCAGCCTGTCCTTCCACGCTGGCCGCCCGCGCGACATCGCGCAGGTGGGGCGCAAATTCTACGACAGCCACAGCCGAGACACCCACGTAGGAGGCGCCTGTCCCCCGCCCCTGTGGCGAACCAGCGGTCATGTCCAAGGCAACTCCTTCTCACTGGGCGACATCAAGCTCCGCGCGCGCGTCCTCCGCGCGCGCGTCCAGGCCCGGCGGCAGCACGGGTGAATGCCGCGGTCGGACTGCACCATGCTCGCCGATAACAGAAATCCACCAGGGCAAAGTCGTCGGTTGGGCCGCGGGAGAACCCGACCGCCAGGCTGCGGCCCCCACTGGATCGAGCACCCACTCCGAACAAACCAACCGGCGAGATCGGCGGGGAACTATATCAGCGTTGCCCTCGGGAGATCCGAACCCCCAGCGCTAACCTCAAGGCCGCGGCCGAAGCCGGTGAGAGAAAAAGGCCATCAAAAGATTCCATCGCGTCGGGCGCCTCCCCGAGGGCACTCAAGCAAGGGCGGGTTCGGTCGTCTCCCTCGCGGCTAGCGTGCGCGCCCGGGACCGGGGACATCCAGGCGCCCAGTAAAACGGTCAGGAATCTGCACGACTACCCAGTTTTCGTCGCCGCCAGGCCCAGCGATCTGGAATCTCACAGTGGGCGCCGCCCGCTCGAGCGGCCCCGTGCCCCGCTCTAGGCCAGGAAGGCAGGCGCGCGGGGACGATGCGCTCAACGCCAAAGCCGACAGGCTATGCGGCCACGCGCAATGCTTCCGAGGGGGAGGACCTGTTGGGGGAGCCTGGCAAAGCATTGCCCAACTCGACTGGTCACGGCCCGAGTTCGCCACCGCGCGCGACGATTGGGACGCCCATCTGTCATGAATTCACGAGCCAGCCGGTCTTTTCACGCCCGCGCTCAGGGCCGCGCAACGGAGATCCCTCCTCCGACGCGCCCCAACCACCAGCCATGATCTCGGCGCCGTCGCCGCCGCCAAGCAGGGCCTCGACTACTTTGCCAACGCGTGGCTCCTCACAATCAAAGGCAGAGCCACATGCGCTGGCCGGCAGTTCGGCCCCCTCTGCAAACACTTCCGCGGAGGTGACCACGCCCAACGGAGGAAAGTCAAGGCCGACATCTCGGCTGACCCATCTCCCACGCGCAGATGGCGCGACCAAGAAGCAGGATTCCAAGAACGCGCAGCGCAGAGTCGCCCGCGCTGAGAAAACGCGAGGGCCGTCTTCAAAACCATGACCACCGAGCAGAAATGGCAGCACCTCCCACCGCACACCAGGCACTGCGGCCTCCTACAGGAAGACTCCGCCTTGCACGACCTGCAGGCTGCCCTGGCTGCAGACCAGCCCCCACAGCCCATCCCGAGACCACCCCAAGGGGGGTCCAGATGACGAATCACACCAAGGAGTGCACCAGTGATTACGGAACCATGCGCGCGCACGCGGCGACTGACGGGGCGTGCCCCAACCAAGTTCACCCCCTCATGTCCAGGGCTGGTTTCGGTGTCAATTGTGGGCCAAACCACAGGCTACGCCATTCCGCCCGCGAACACGGCCTAGCATTGTCCGCGCAACGGGCAGGAACCATCGCTATGCTTCATCTGGCTGCCACGGCCGATAGGCCAGTACACGTCTTCGTCGACAACCAGGCCGTCGTCGGCGGGTTCGAAGACCCGCTCAAAGGAAAATCACCACAACGCGCGCGGCCGCAAGCCGGTCTGCGGCAGAAAACGGGGCGCTCCAATCGAGACCAGACTCGTTCAAAATCCCACGGGTGGAAAGCCTTTTGGGGGGACGAGGTATCAACGATGGGCACATCACCCTGATTGCTTTTAAGCTGTCATGTTGAAGAACCCGCCACCGCAGGAAGAAGACTCCACAGCGTTCCACAAAGCGCGGCCGACGCCGCCAAGTGGCGCCACAAGTTCGCCGCTGTCCCCCACGCAGCGGCCGTCGCCATTCACAACCTGCCGCACTGGGCGCCGCCGCTCCCCCACAGGAGACGGAGAGCGGGGCATTCCAGGTCGGAGCTTTCGAAGATGGCGCCAAACCCGCTCGCCATCGATCAGGGGGGGCATGGCCTATGCGACAAGAAGAACCACCTCCCATGGGCGGGCCACCAGGTCCCGACCACTTCGACGAACTCGACGGCCCTTGGCCCCCATCCGCGGATGATTTCAAAGGTGAGGACCTCGACCTCCTCGGGCTCGGAGCCTCTCTCGACGACGACGAACACGGTGATTTCCCCGCACGCAGTCACCCTTTTGACCATGACAACATGGCCGTGGGCCACCCTGCTGAGTCGGCTAACGCCCAGTCCTCCGGCGCCTACGGGCGTCAGAACACGATGGCCGGTCACCGCGCCCAGGGCGGCCAACCCTCCCAGTCGGCCCACCAGGCTCCGACAGGGACTGCCGCGAGCCTCGGGACGACGGCTGCCGGGCCAGCTAGACCGCCCAACCCGCGGACCGCAGGCAGGCCTTCACGCGGCACCTCACGGCGACGAGCAGCCAGCAACAGAGGGATCGCGAGACCACTCTCGCCGCCAGCATACAGTCGCTCCATCATCGAGCCAACCAGCTGGCGCACTCCCCCCAGCCAGTTTTAGGAACAATCCACACCGCTGCTCGACGGGTTCCACCGAGGGCCAGAGGCCTGGAGCGGCTGGCAGCAGGCCTTCCGGCCTGCAGTCGCATTAAGGGTTAGCCCTCCACGGCAACTTCCAGGCCTTCTTCTACGCGCAACGGACGGCACACCAGCGCTGGCCTCCGCCCACCTTCCCTCCACGACCACGAGCACCGTTCGCAACCGAAGCGTCCTTCGCTCTCTCTCCCTGGGCCGCGGCGAGGGACGCCCCAAGGCAGCGCCTTTCGAATCCCAACCGAACCGTCGTTCGCTCTCTTTCCCTGGGCCGCAGCGAGGGACGCCCCAAGGCAGCGCCTTTCGAGTCTCAACCGAACCGTCGTTCGCTCTCTCTCTCCCCAGGCCGCGGCGAGGGACGCCCCAAGGCAGCGCCGTTCGCATCCCATGGCCGCCCGAAGCCAGCACCCCCCCCTCTTGCGCCAATGGGCGCAGGCGGGCCCCACAGCGGCCGGATCACCGCCGCCCGACCTTCCTTCCAGACGGGGCCCTGGTGACGGCGCCAAAGGGGAGCAGATCCACCACCCCTGTTGCAGTCAGCCATGATCGGGTGTTGCTAGAAGTACCCCTGGCCCAAGGTCCCCCCAGGATTCTCGGGGTGGCCCAGACGGCCTTCAGGGCACCCCTCACGAGGACCAGAGGGCCCCAGGGGCTCCAAAATGGAGCGAAAAGCTGGGGGCATCATGGGCCTGGGGCACTTCTAGCAACACCCGACATGATAGTAAGGATGGACAACCTTCCCAAGGGTACCCTTGCATCCTCGCCTCCTCGGTCCATCCTTCGCCGCTTTCGCTGGCCGCGCCCCGCTCGAAGAGTTTCGAAACGGGCGCCCAAGGCCCTTGCATACTCATCGCGCATCCTTACTATACTGGTTGACTGTACACCTGCGGCTCCTCCCGCTACTGCAAGGACGGCCTGCCAGACGCTCGCCGCCCGGGGGCCGGAGCTGACGCGCGGCCCGAACCGTTGGGATGTTTCTATCTCTGTCCTTCCCCCCTTCGTCCCTCCCTCCCCCCTCCCTTCCCTCCCTCCCCTCCCTTCCCTCCGTCCCCGCCTCCGTCTCTCCCTCCCCCCCCCGTCCCTCCCTTCCCTCCGTCCCTCCCTCCGTCCCTCCCTCCCCTCCCTTCCCTCGTTCCCTCCGCCCTTCCCCGCGTCGCCCTCCCCGTGTAGGCCCCGCCCTTGCCCCCCGCAGGACCCCGTCGCCCTCCGCAAGGAGGCCCTGGAGGCCCAGAGGCGCCCGTGGGCCCCTCTCCCCCCCCAAGGAGGAGGAGGAGGAGGAGGAGGAGGAGGAGGAGGAGGAGGAGGAGGAGGAGGAGGAGGAGGAGGAGGAGGAGGAGGAGGAGGAGGAGGAGTCGTGTGGGGTGGTGCCCAAGACAGCCTAAGAGGCCCCAAAATCATCCCAAGACGGCCCCAGAGGCGCCCCAAAGGGGCCCAAAACGGCCCAAGATGGCCCCCAGACGGCACCAATACTGCCAAGAAGGCACCGAGGGCCCTAAGAGAGCCCAAGAGGGCCCCAATAGGCTCCCCAGCGCGCCCGAAGAGGAGGAGGAGGGGGATGATGATGATGATGATGATGATGATGATGATGATGATGATGATGATGATGATGATGATGATGATGATGATGATGATGATGATGATGATGATGATGATGATGATGATGATGATGATGATGATGATGAGGAGGAGGAGGAGGAGGAGGAGGAGGGAGGAGGAGGAGGAGGAGGAGGAGGAGGAGGAGGAGGAGAGGGATGAGGATGAGATGAGGATTAGGATGAGGATGAGGATGAGGATGAGAAGGAGAGGGGGAGGAGGAGGAGAGGAGGAGAGGGAGGACGAGGACGAGGACGAGGACGAGGACAGGACGAGGACGAGGACGAGGACGAGGACGAGGACGAGGACGAGGACGGGGAGGAGGAGGAGGAGGAGGAGGAGGAGGAGGAGCCGTCGTGAAGGGTGGTGCCGTCTTCCTGCTCGCCAGGGGCACAGTGCAGGGAGGGAGGCGAGGAGAGGGGAGGGGCTCGCTCAGGAGCGCGGGGGCCTCCTGGAGGACGGGGGGAAGCGCGCCGGAGGCCTCCGGGAGGACGGAGGGGAGCAGAACGTTCAGTCGGGCGGTGTCCCTCTACAGGAGGGATATTCAAAAATAGCCCCCCAAAAAATAGTATGGGGACTATTCTCTTCGTCTTTTGTGGCATGTCTTGCGCATGTCTTGTGTATGTTTGATTCTTTGTGCAGACTCCCCCTGGTAGGGGGACACGCCCGACTTGAGCAAGACGACCTCCCTTGCGCGGGGGCCTCTCGGAGGCGGGGGGGACGGAGAGGAAGGAGGAGGAGGAGGAGGAGGAGGAGGAGGAGGAGGAAGAGGAGGAGGAGGAGGAGGAGGAGGAGGAGGAAGAGGAGGGGGGGGGACGGAGAAGGGAGGTCGGCGCCGGCAGCGGCGGCGGGGCGCAGCCTGGCGAGGGCGGCGGCGAGGGCGGCAGCAGCGGCGGCGGCGCCCCAGCGGCTCGGGGGCCGGCCGGGGGGGGGCCGAGGGCCCATCCCCCGCCGAGTCAAACGACGCGAAGATCGGGACAAAATCGGATCGGGTTAACTCGAAATCTCTGAGAATCGGCGGGTTTGGAGGATGTATTGGGCGCCGCGGCCGCTCCAGAGCGTTCCGGAACGCTCTGAGAGCGCTCCGGAACGCTCTGGAGCAATTTATCCCGATCCTAGCCCTGTTTTAGTGGTCCACTGCTCGCAAAGTGCCTACTCGCAACGGGGGGGGGAACTAGGGGAACAAAAAGTGGCATAAACATAAAGACTTGGAGGTCCGCGCGGATTTCTCGGATCGGCGCTGGACCCCCCTCCCTGGCGCGCGGAGCGCGCCAGGGGCGGCGCCGGAGGCGCCGCCGGGGGGCCACAGCGCCGATCCGAGAAATCCGCGCGGACCTCCGAGTTGTTATGTTTATGCCACTTTTTGTTCCCCTAGAAATAGGTCTGCATCGATGTAAATGTATCGTAAATCTCCCATGGCGGATCCGTGCCATTTGCGAGTCGCGACGTCGCGAGCAGCGGAACGCGCTTGTCCAGGCACTTGGCCTTCGGTGGGTCCCTCTGGTCGCCTCGGCTGGACGCGGCCCGGAGAACTGTCAGGAGGGGAGAAAGAAAGAAAGAAAAACAAAACACAAAAAAAAAACAAAAAAAACGTCGATTCCCAAGAAAATCTAAGAAAATGTGACACGTGGGGGGGGGAAGGCACAAGCACAGAAACTATCAGAAAATATGGGAATCCGCTTATTTGTGTTCATTTACTTGTGTGTTCAAGGGTCGGGGGTGGACAGAACCCCCAACAGTGACACGTCGATTCGTGAATTGTCCGTTTTCGGTTTTCGAGAGGGCGCCGTGGCCGTTACTTTCCAGGCTTGCGCCCGCCAGGTGTGGGCCTCGGGTCGTTTCCACTAGACCACGTTTTACTACAGGGGGGTCCGTACATCCCCGAAAGGGCCCCTTCAAGCTGGGGCGTCTGGGCGGAGGAGGAGGAGGGGGAGGAGGAGGGATGAGGAGGGGAGAGGGAGGAGGAGGGAGGAGGAGGAGGAGGGAGGAGGAGGAGGAGGGAGGAGGAGGAGGAGGAGGAGGAGGAGGAGGAGGAGGAGGAGGAGAAGGAGGAGGAGGGGGAGGAAGGAGGAGGGAGAGGAGGAGGAGGAGGAGGAGGGAGGGAGGAGGAGGAGGAGGAAGCACAGGAGGGGCCGGGGCTCCAGCGGCGGCCGGCGCGCGGCCCGCAGAGGGCGGCGGCTCCCTGCAGGGGAGCCCCCCGCGCTGGCCGGGGGAGGGCGGCCGCGGTGGCCGCGGGGCTCGGCGTCGCTCGGGCGTGTGCATTTTTTGTTCGGCGAGAACCATCGAGGACCCTCCTGGACCATCGAGCAAACAAAAAAAAAAACGCACGAAACCGAAAAAGGCGCGGGAAGTGGGCGCCCGAGCGACGGCCAGGGGGGTGCGCCCACGCGGGCGAGGCGCAGACGCTGCCAGGCCACCGCCCGGAGGGCGCGTCGTCCCGGCTCGCCGGATCCAGCCCGCTCCTCCTGGATCCTCCTCCTCCTGCTCCTCCTCCTCCTCCTCCTCCTCCTCCTCCTCCTCCTCCTCCTACTCCTCCTCCTCCTCCTCCTGCTCCTCCTCCTACTCCTCGCGTTCCCTTTACCGTGGGCCGTGTGCGTCGGGATCGCCCCCTCGAGGGGCAGCGGGTGTCTCCTGCCCCTTGGACCGGTCTCTTCTCGCCCCCTGCTCTTGGTCACTCCTCGTGCTCCATCTCCCCAACCAGCTCCCCTCCCCCGTTCCGTCACGGGGCCTCGGTACATCAGTTTGGGTGTCTCGATCACAGCGCTGTTCGGCTGTGCGCGGCCGCTCTCTCCGCCTGGGTGTTGCACATCTCGTTTGGCCACCCTCGCCCCTGCCATAATTTAGGAGGGGAAAAACACACAGACACAATGAATCGTCGATTCCCAAGGAAGGACGGGAAAATCTGGGAAGTGGGGGGGATGACAAAAACCAGAAAATCTTCCAAAAAATATGGAATATCCTGTGTGTGTGTGTCCCAGGGCCTCTGCCACAATCGGGATCGGGGTGCAGATGCCGTCCGGTGAGCTCCCAGCCGACAGGGTGGCTGGAGCAGGAAAGGCACCGCGCGAGGGGTCACTGTGCGGCCGGGGTCCCATGACGTCAATGACGCACTCAATGCGAAGGCTACGGTGGAGGTGTTTGTTAAGGAATAGTCCCAGGAGGCGCCAGACCCTGGAGGATTCCTTATCCAATGAAGGCGGCGGTGATGTCCATGGCCGATCCACGATTGGAGTTCCACTGGCTTCCAGACCCTGGATTCCTCATCTAAGGGTTCCTTATCCAATGCCCACACCGTATCATCCTCTCCTCGTGGCAGTGTCCAGCGGTGCCGATGCCTCTCTCGCGCATCGAGTTCTCGCGCACAGGGTTTCAGACGTTTGTGCTCAGTACGTGCATGTTCGATCGGAACGTATCCGGTCCCTCCAAAATAGTTTTCTCGCTGCAGCGCTGGCCATGTTTCATGACCTGTCCGTCTGCCCGCCGTTCAAAATCGGACTCTCCCCCCAGCGTGGGCCACACTTTGGGACCCGACCCCTTTGTCGTCGTTGCAATCCCCAGTATTTCCCCTCCGCCCTTCTGGGGTCCTCATGTTCCTCCTCCACCTCGTCCACCTTCCTCCTTCTCGTCCTCCTTGTCCTCATCTTCCTTCCCCTCCTCTGCAAAACGGCTCCCTTTCCCGATTGCGCAACGCACGACGTGTCAAACTTTGCAACCGCCATGTCGGAATCAGGGTCGTCTGGGACACCCCAGTCGGTGGATCTGCAAGAGCAGAAGGGAAGGGATGGGTGGGATGGGCACAGTCGGCCCGGATTAGTGGGTCGACCCTGCCAAATCAAGGGTACCCCTGTGTCCTGTGTCTCGCGACCCATGCTTCCTACACTCCTGTGGCAAGGCGGCCCTCGGAAGGGTCTCTTGTCCTCTCGCGTGTCCTGTCCGAGGAAGTCCGACTGCAGGATATCAGGCGTGGCGCGAGCGTGCCCAGCTTCGCAGGTCGCCCGTCTCGTTCTGACACTCCCCTGTTCGTTCCGCTTCCGCGCGAGGGCTGCCATGGTGGAGGAGCAGCTGCGCAAGCACCAGTCCAACGGAAGCGCCAAGGCAGGAGCGCGGCCCGAAGCCGCACGCACGCGCGCACACAGACACAAACACGCGCAGACACAGACACAGACACAGACACAGACACAGACACAGACACACACACACACACACACACACACACACAAACACAGACACAGACACACACAGGCACACACACACACACACACACACGCACACTCGCGCCCAGAGGGAAGACGCGCAGTAGCAGGAACAGAGGAAGAAGGCGGAGCAGAGGGAGGCGTTGGAGGAAGGGGGGGGGATGATGAAACGGTATGAGAAGGAGAAGAGCCCTCCCAAGCCCCACAACGATTTCGTTGCCAGAGGGTAGATGGGCCCCAGCGCTTCGGACATGCAGTTGGAGGACGACCTACAACCGTCGTGTGATGACTGCCACATTGAGCAGTTGGGTATTGGCCTTTATCTCTGTGGGGCTGTGTGTTTCTCATGGGTGCCCCTGGTGCCACTAGCGCGTCTCACTACTGTGCTATACTTTCCGATCTCGGCTTACAGCTCACACATAGTATTAACGTTGGATTGTGGTGTTCAGGCGCCCCAGCACATTCACGCCAAATCGCTGGTTGCATTGAACTTGGAGCCCGCCGTCGTGGTATCCTGGTGTCCAGGAGCGCTCCAGCGCCGCCCGAGCCTGAGTTGAGCACAGCCTTCGGCCCCGACGTTCCCCCCAGTTGCCTCGCCATTCTCCCTCCTCTCCTTTCTTCTCCTCCTCCTCCTCCTCCTCCTCCTCCTCCTCCACCTCCTCATCTCTTGGGCAAGCTGCCGGGCGCGTGTGAGCAGTGCGACGCCGCATGCGTTGACGCCTTCCTGTTCACTCCATCGTCTGTGCTCTGTGTTCCGTGTCTGTGCTCCTGTGCGTGTCGTGCTCCGCAGTTTGCTTGCCTGCTCCCCGCTCTCTGGCTCGCTCGTCTGCTCGCTCCTCCTCCTCCTCCTCCGCTCCCCCTCCCCCTCCTCCCCCTCCTCCTCCTCCTCCCCCCCTCCCTCCTCCCCCCTCCCCCTCCACAATTACTCAATATGAATACTACTCTCCCTCTTCCCCTGATGGCGTGCTGGGAGTGGCCGACCCCCCCCCCCCCGCGTACTGTTTTTTACACACAGGATTCCCGGGAGTTGGGTTTTCGCCTGCGTTTTTTTCAAAATGCTGCTCTCGCTGAGGCGCCGGCCTCATTTCTGCTCCCGAATCGTTCCGAATCGTGCTCCCGCTGCAGCGTGGGCCTCATTTTCGGATCGGTGTTTTGCCTCCGTCGTTCAGGATGGCGTTCTCGCCCCAGCGCGGGCCTCTTTCTCGCGCGCCCATCCGCCCGCCACCACCGCGCCGCACCACGCCCCGCCCCGCCGCACGCACACCCACCGCCACTTCACCCACCAACGCACGCACGCACGCACGCGCACCACCACCGCGCACCGCCACCACCACCGCACTACCCCACCAACCACCACCACGCTACACCGCGTCACACCACATCACACGCGCGCACACACAGACACACACGCACGCACGCACGCACGCACGCACGCACACGCACGCACGCACACACACATACACACGCACACACACACACACACCACACACGCGCACACACACACACACACACACACACACACACACACACACACACACACACACACACACACACCACACACCACACACACGCACACACACACACACACCGCCATCACGCACGTACGCACCTGGCCCACCACCAAACCACCAAGACGCCACACCACGTCACACCACAGCACACGCGCACACACGCACACACACACACACACACACACACACACACACATACACACCACCACCACAACAACCACAACCACGCACACACGCACGCACGCACGCGCACCACCACCCACTACGCACACGCGCGCGGAGCCACAGGTCCGCTACGACACGCGTCCGCGGATAGAGAAAATCAGCGCCATGGTAAGGGATGGGAGGGAGGGGTAGGATGTCAGATGTTGACGCGAGCGCACCTAACTTTTCCTCTCCCCCTCCCCCCTCCTCCCCCTCCCCCTCCTGCTCCTCCCCCTCCCCCTCCTCCCTTTTCCCCTCCTCCCCTCCCCCTCCTCCCCTCCCCCTTCCTACTCTCTGGCTCGCTCGCCTGCTCGCTCCTCCTCCTCCCCTCCCCCTCCTCCCCCTCCCGCCGCAGCCCGCGTGGCTCCAGGGCCGACGACCGAGCATCGAGCCGTGCGCTCGCGCCCCGATCCTCCGAGCCACTCACAGGCACCCCCCAATGGGCGGCGCCCGCCGCAAGGGGGGAGGAGGAGGAGGAGGAGGAGGAGGAGGAGGAGGAGGAGGAGGAGGAGGAGGAGGAGGAGGAGGAGGAGGAGGAGGAGGAGGAGGAGGAGGAGGAGGAGGAGGAGGGGGGCGGGGGCGCCAGGGGGGCGGGAGGATTGAGGAGAGAGGAGAAGGAGAGAGGAGAGGAGGAGGAGGAGGGAGGAGGAGGAGGAGGAGGAGGAGGAGGAGGAGGAGGAGGAGGAGGAGGAGGAGGAGGAGGAGGAGGAGGAGGAGGAGGAGGGGGGCGGGGGCGCCAGGGGGGCGGGCGTCTGAGAGGGCGGGAGGGGTCCTCTTAGAAAGCAGGGGCCTTCTTGGAAAGGCCCTGTTTGGAAGCTTCCAGGGGCCTCTGAGAAGGCCATCCGCCTTCTGAGAAGCCCTTCGCGGCCTTCTCAGAAGCCCCCCATCCCCCTCGCGCCTCTCAAGTGCTCCGAGATGGGGTCGAAGTAGATGGGGTCAGAGGATCGCGCCGCATCGCCGATGCATCGCCGATGCGGCACGATGTGGAGCTCGATTTGTTTCACGTCGACGTCGCCGACACGCCGCCGGCGTCGCCGATGCATCGCCGATGCATCGCCGATGCATTGGCGATGCGGCGCGACCCTCCGACCCCGGCTGCTCGGACCCTATCTGGGAGGCCTCCGGCCACCTCTTTTCGCGGGCGCCGCCGCCGCGTCCCGCAATGCAGCTGTTCGCGCTCTGCCTCGTCGCGCCGCTGGCCCTGGCGCCCTGGGCGCGGGCGCAGGGGCCGACGCCCGTGGAGAAGGTGATCGAGCTCATGGAGGGCACCCCCGGGAGGGGAAGCGAACTCACGAAGCTCGGGGGACCTGGCCGTCGTCGTCCGCGTCGTCCTCCTCCTCCTCCTCCTCCTCCTCCTCCTCCTCCTCCTCCTCCTCCTCCTCCTCCTCCTCCCCCTCCTCCTCCTCCTCCTCCTCCCCTCCTCCTCCTCCTCCCCTCCTCCTCCTCCTCCTCCTCCTCCTCCTCCTCCTCCTCCTCCTCCTCCTCCCCCTCTACGCTGGGCTCCTCCTCCTCCTCCTCCTCCTCCTCCTCCTCCTCCTCGTTTTCGTCCGTGTCGTCGTCGCTCGGACGTGCGTTTTTACCCTCGGCGGGGACCATCGAGGAGCACCCTGGATCAGATCTGGCCAGAAAAAGGCCCGCTCGAAACCGAAACATAGACGGGCAACAGACGTCCGAGCCATGGCCCCATGGCAAGTGTCGCGCCGCCGTTGGGGCGCCCGTCAGCGTGCTACTCCTTCGCTGCTTGTGCGGAGGCCTGGCGCGCCCTCCACACTGGCATTCTGAGGGCTTTTCCACGGCGGCGTGGCATTGATACCGTGGCTGCTCCCCTTAAGTCGGGCTCGTCCCTCTACAGGAGGAATATTCAAAAGTAGTCAAAAAATCTTGTGTGGACTATTTATTGAGTATTGTTTGACCTTTTTGGAGTGCTGTTTGAGTATTCTTTACTTCTCGTCGAAAATACCCCTGTACGGTAGGTTCGCGTCATGTCGACCGGCGGCGACCCCGACGCCGGCGTTCAACATTGAATGCCGGCGGAGGCCCAGAATCGGTAGATTTGAACGATCTGACGTTTCGGAGACGGCCGATCGTTCAAGGTTGAACGATCCCCGCGGCGTCAAAACCCAACGCCGAAGTCGGCACGACACGAACCTGCCGTAGGGGGACACGCCCAACCTGATGCTCCCCCAGGCATGCTGGCGAAGGGCAAGGAGCCGGGGCAGCGCGAGGGGCGGACGGGCTCAGATGCGGAGGTGTGCGTCGACCCCCCCCCGGTCGCCCACGCATAGGCCGAAGGGAGCGCCCGGTGGCCCCTAGGAGGAGGAGGAGGAGGAGGAGGAGGAGGAGGAGGAGGAGGAGAGGAGGAGGAGGAGGAGGAGGAGGAGGAGGAGGAGGAGGAGGAGGAGGAGGAGGGAGGAGGGGGAGGAGGAGGAGGAGGAGGAGGAGGAGGGAGGAGGAGGAGGAGGAGGAGGAGGAGGGGGGGGCGGCAAAGAGGGGGGTGATTGCTGGGGGGGGGGATAGCATGGCGTGGGCCATGAGTTTTCCCCAGATTTCATGGCGGGCGCCGCTTCTTGTTTCAATACGTCCCCACCCCACCCCCTGGGCCGCGCACCTGCCGCCGGCCATGATTTGCACCCCCCCCCTCTTGGACGCTTGGACGCCCCACTCCTTGCCGCCCCGACATCGGGGGCCTGTCGCCGATCTATCGTATCGTCGATTCCAGGTCGATGCGCTTCCCCCTGAGCCAGTCCCACCCCCTAGCGCTCCCCCGCAGAGGAGGACAAGAAGGCGGAGCAGGTGGGCTACGCTGCCTTCAAGCAGTTCTGCGACGACACTGAGACCGAGACGTCGCGCAACATCGCGGAGGCCGAGATGAAGATCGAGGTCCTGAAGGCCGACATCGAGAAGTACAAGGCCGAGGCCGCGCGCTTGAAGGAGGAGGCCGACCTGCTCGATGGAGACATCGCCGCGTGGACGGGCGACGACAAGGCGGCCACCAAGGTTCGCGACATGGAGAAGGCGGGAGCGGGGTCTATCAATATGTTGCGGTTGGTTGGCTGGCTTGTAAATATATCGTTTGGGCCCCGCCGTATGAGGAATCCTCAAAAGTGCGATGCATTGGCCAGTTGGCTGGTTCTTTGGCTGGTTGGCTGGGCTGGTTGGCCGGTGGGCTGGCTGGTCAGTTCGCCAGTTGGCTGATTGGCTGGTGGGCTGGCCATTTGACTGGTTGGTTGGTACCCGACGTGGCCAAGATTATGACCCTATTCGAGGGTCCCAGGGTTCAAAATCCGTGTAGCAGATTCGTGACAAGAACCCAGTGGCAGGCATGGGGAAGAAATAAGTGTCGCATAGAATCCGCGCGAGAAAACCCTGTGGCAAGAGGAGGGGGTGAATAATGAACCCCCCTGGAAACCGTGTGGTGCCCTCCGTGGCAGGCAGGAAGGAATCAACAAATTCTCCCTGGACCCCTACATGGGGTAATTTACACATTCCTTTTAGAACCTGCCGTGCGAACCCCGAACCCCTGTGGCAGGCAGGGAGGTAATACGCAAGTGCCACATGGAACCTGTGTGAAAACCTTTGTGGCAAGCATGAAAGGAAGAAACATATCTCCCGCAAAACCCGTATGAGAGAACCCCATGCAGCAGGCAGTGGGGAAGTAAGCAAATGTCCAGTAGCTTCCGAGCAAGGGGCGAAGATCTCCTTTCAGGAGCCGTGTGAGATGACCCGTATGGCAGGCAGGGGGGGAATACGCAATCTCCTCTTGGGCCTCCGGCGCCAACCCGATCGGCAGGCAGGGGAAGTGAACAAATCATCGTCGAGCCCCCATGGTAGCTCCCTGTGGCAGGCAGGGTGAAAATAAGCAAGTGTCCTTTTAGAACCCGTGCGAAAAAAGAAAGGCAACAGCAACAGCAGCAGCAACAACAATCACAGCAACAACAATCAGATCATGATTCTTCGCATTTACTGGCACGCGTGTCTTGCTTTCTGTGTTACCCCAACCCTCGATACCCGCTCACTTCGTCTTCGATCGCACCCCCTTTCGGGGGGAATATCTTCCTCGTCGGCCACTGACTGAAGTGAGAGGAGCTCTCGAGCGAGAGCGCCGTTCCTGAGTTCGGGGGCCTCTCTGGCCAGGGGCTCTCGGAATACAGAATGAGAAATATCGAAGGGGGACCCTTGTCGCCGTGTCTGGGCCTCCACCCACTTTCCAGGATTACGAGAAAGTCTCCAGCGAGAGCACCACTCTTGAGTTCGGGGGCCTCTCTGGCCAGGGCCTCTGCGAATACATCTTGAGGAAATATCGAACGAGAGCCCTTGTCGTCGTAGTTGGGCCTCCAACAGTTTGACTAAATCACGAAAAAGTCTCGAGCGAGAGCGCCGTTCCTGACTTCGGGGGCATTCCTGGCCAGGGGGCTCTCGGAGTAGATCGTGAGAAAGTGTCGAGCAGGAGCCCTTGTCGTCGTGGCTGTGCCTCCGCCAACTTGACTGACGTGCGAGGAGGTCTCGAGCGAGAGTACCGTTCCTGAGTTCGGGGGCCTCTCTGGGCAGGGTGTCTCGGAGTAAATTGTTGTGAGGAGATATCGAGCGGGAGCCTTTGTCGTTGTAGCCAGGCCTCCAGAGACACACATTTACAATGAAGCCCGCTCTCGAGCAGGAATTTCGTTTTCAGAGGAGTTGCAGCCTGCGTCGTGCTTTAAAAATGAGTATTCAACAATAATTATAAGTCAAGCGATCCCCATCGAAAACTTCGACGCTTGATCCCGAAGGTGCGAGCGCTCGTTTGAACGGTGTGCGCGGGGCGCGGTGGGCTCGGCCAGTGTTATGTCATTATAGTATGCTATGTTATGGTATGGTGTGTACGCTTTGGTCTGTCATAGCATGCGTTGTTATGCTACGTTGTGCTATGAAATGATAGGTCATGTTATGTGATGATGTGGCATGTTATGGTTTGGTGCGTTCAGTTATGCGTTGTTTTGTTGTGGTATGATTGACTCGTCATGTCATGGAACGAGATTTAAGACTGTTCGCTCTCATCTGCTCGCGTGTCATTCAATATGCAGATCCCAAACCCTGGATACCCGCCCTCTTCGTCTTCGATCGTGCCCCCGCTTGGGGGGTTTATGCATTCCCTGCCACGTGTGGTTGGTGAAGCCCTTGATATCGAAGGGTAGCAGATAACGGGGGAGAATGAGGACGAAGGGATCGGAGGAAGGGAGGGGAGGGGCAAGAAGGAGGGAGGACGATGATTTGCGCTGCGAGTGGCAATTCAGCTTGCGCCATGGCTTGCGCCAGCCATTCCAACACAGGTTAACAATAAGTTTCGCTATGGGTCGCGCCATAAACAGCGCCACGTACCACCCCGTTGAAAAGAACAACTCTTGGATACCCACACGGGGGGACGTACAGCTGCGAACTGGTGAAACAAATTTCGTGGAACCCTGAAAAGAAGCGGGATATTGGGAGAGCGACGAAAGGCAGCAATGGGGCCACGAAGGGCATACATGTGGGGCCACAACGGGCGCGAACGGGCGGGGGCCACGAAGGGCATGCGCATAGGGGGCCGCAGAGGGCAGCGACGGGGCCACTGAGGACAGAAACGGGGCCACGAAGGGCAGAGAGGGGGGCCACGAAGGGCGACAGCGGGGCCACGAAGGGCATGCATATGGAGCCACGACGGGCGCGAACGAGCGGGGGCCACGTAGGGCGTGCGTATATTGGGCCAGAATGGGCGACAGCGGGGCCACTGAGTGCAGAAAATGGGCCACGAAGGGCAGCGAGGGGGCCACGAAGGGCGACAGCGGGGCGACGAAGGGCATGCATATGGGGCCACGAAGGGCGCGAGCGAGCGGGGACCACGAAGGGCATTCAATCCGGGGCCGCAGAGGGCAGCGACGGGGCCACTGAGGGCAGCACCAGGGCCACGAAGGACAGCGAAGGGGCCACAAAGGGCGACAGCGGGGCCACGAAGGGCATGCATATGGGGCCACGACGGGCGCGAGCGAGCTGGGGCCACGTAGGGCATTCGTATATGGGGCCACGAAGGGCAGCGAGAGGGCCACGATGGACGACAGCGAGGCTACGAAGGGCATGCGTATGGTTGCGAGGAAGTCCAAAGCGACAGCGCGATTCTCTAATAAACCGTGAGGAAGTATCAGGCGGGAGCCGCGATTCGGTGGCAAATTGCAAGGAAATCCTGAGCGAAAGCGCGATTTTTCAATAAATTGTGAGGAAGTATCAGGCGGGAGCCGTTGTTGGCGCGGGCCACGACGAGCGCGAACGAGCGGAGGCCCCGAAGGGCATACGTATAGGGGGCCGCAGAGGGCAGCGACGGAGCCGCTGAGGGCAGAAACGGGGCCACGAAGGGCAGAGAGGGGGGCCGCAAAGAGCGACAGCGGGGCCACGAAGGGCATGCACATGGGGCCACGACGGGCGCGAACGAGCGGGGGCCACGAAGGGAAGACATATATGGGGCCAGAAAAGGCGACAGCGGGGCCACTGAGCGCAGAAAGTGGGCCACGAAGGGCAGCGAGGAAGCCACGAATGGCGACAGCGGGGCGACAAAGCACATGCGTATGGGACCACGAAGGGCGCGAGCGAGCGGGGGGCACGAAGGGCAATCAACCCGGGGCCACAGAGGGCAGTGACGGGGCCGCTGAGGGCAGAAACGGTGCCATGAAGGGCAGCGAAGGGGGCCACGAAGGGCGACAGCGGGGCCACGAAGGGCATGCACATGGTGCTACAACGGGCGCGAACGAGCGGGGGCCACGAAGGGCATTCGTATATGGGGCCACAAGGGCGACAGCGGGGCCACTGAGCGCAGAAAGTGGGCCACGAAGGGCAGCGAGAGGGCCACAAAGGGCGACAGCGGGGCTACGAAGGGCATGCGTATGGGGCCACGACGGGCGACTGCGAGCGGGGGCCACGAAGGGCGTATAATGCGGGGCCACAATGGCCAGCGACGGGGCCACTGAGGGCAGCAACGGGGCCACGAAGGGCAGCGAGCGAAGGCGACCGCGGAACCAGCACGGGCAGCGAGGGCCATCGAAGGCGGGCGATAGGCAGCGAGCGGCGACTGCTGACCCTAACGGGCTGGTCGGGCGGGCGGGCCCAGACGGGCGGGTCGAGCGGGCGAGTCGTTGAAGCGTAATTTTTGCTTTAACCGCCAGGCAATATGTAGCGGGAGCGCGTTTCCTGAGTGTCGGGGAGCGGCATGTGAATAAATTGTGAGGAAGTATCAGGCGGGAGCCGCGATTCGGTGGTAAGTTGCGAGGAAGTCCCAAGCGAGAGCGCGATTGCGATTCTTCAATAAAGTGTTAGGAAGTATCAAGCGGGAGCCGCAATTTGGCGGTAAATTGCAAGGAAGTCCCAAGCGAAAGCGCGATTCTTCAATAACTTGTGAGGAAGTATCAGGCGGGAGCCGTTGTTGTTGTAAACTGGGGGCCGACAACACAGTTTGGCCCTCAAGATTTTCTTTGGTAAAAAAGGTGCGAGCCCCGGGAAGGGCATTTCAATCGACAAAAACAATGTGCACCGGACGGGGGGAATCAACAATCGTTTTTTTTCGGAAATGGGGGTTCAACAACAGCAGCAGCAGCAGCAACAATAACATCGACAGCAACAGCAACAGCATCAACAACAGCAGCAACAAAACAACAATAGCAGCAACAACAACAACAACAACAGCAGCAATAACAACAAAACAAGCAACAATAAACAAAAGAAACAACAGGGAGTCAATGAGCACATCTCGCGTACAATTCGTAGAAGAACCCCTGTGGCAGGCAGGGGTGGTCGGGCTGGTCGGGCGGGCGCGACATTAAAGCGGGCGGGCGGGCTCCAAATAAGCGAGCGGGCGGACCATAGCGGGCGGCGCGGACCAAAACGGGCGGGCCGGATGGACCCTGACTGGCAGGTCGAGCGGGCGGACCCCAACGGGCAGGTCGGGAGGGCGAGACACTAAAGCGGGCGGGCGAGTTCTCAAGCAGGCGACCAGAGGGATCTAAGGTCGGGCGGGTTGGACTGGCGGGACGGACGAACCTGAACGGGCGCGTCGGACGGACGGGCCCTGATGGGCTTGTCGGGCGGGCCGGGCAGGCGGGGCATTCAAGCGGACGGCATACAAGCGGGCGGGCATTTAAGCGGACTCTAACGAGCGGGCAGAACGCTCGAGCGGGCGAACGGGCGGGCCCTAGGACGGGCGGACCCTGACGAGCGGGTCGGGCGGGCGTGACCTTCAGGCGGGCGGGCGGGCTGTCAAGCAAGCAAGCAGGACCCTGACTGGCGGGTCTGGCGGTTGGGCGGGCGACAGGGGGTCAGTTAATGCGGACCGCGAGTCTTCAAGCAAGCGGGCGGGCGGACCCTATTATTGAGCGGACCCGGCGGGCGGGCCGTAACGGGCGGGTCGGGCCGGCTGCGCAGGCGGGCCCTGACGAGCGGGTCGGGCGGGCGGACCTCAGCCAGCGGGTCGGGCGGGCGGGGCACGGAAGCGGGCCAGCGGCTTTTCAAGCAAGCGTTCGGGCGGGCCCCAACGGGCGGGCGGACCCTGACGGGGGCGGATCGAATTAGCTCTAACGGACGTGCCGGGCCGGCAGGGCATAAAGTGAACGGGCGGGATGGGTTGGCGGGACACAGAGGGAAAGCGGGTAGGCCTTGACGGACGAACCGGATGGGCGGACGCCAACAGGCGGGTCGGGCACGCGGGTGGCGACGACGACGACGACGACAAGTGACGGACGGCAAGGAGAGACGAGGCAAAGCAACGGCGGCGACGGTGACGACGACGGCGACGATGACAACGACGAGTGACCACGACGACGATGATTGACGAAGACGAGTGAGAAGGGACGGCAAAGAACAACGACGACGTCAACGAGTGAAGGGGACGACGAGTGATATGAAGACGAGCGACGACGATGGCTACGACTATGAGCGGCGACTGCATGTAATCACGTGTACAACGAGTGACGACGACGATTGAAATTGACGAGTGCCGAGCGACGACGACAAGTTGCAACAACGTCGACGAGTGAAGAGGGCGTTGAGTGACGACGAACGACGACGACCGCCAGCGGTGACCATGTCGACAACGGGTGACGGCGACGATGACGACGACCAGTGAAGGCGACAACAACGACGAGCCACGACGACAACGAAGAGGCACGAAGACAGCCACGACGACTACGACGGCGAGTGATTGCGACGACGACGACGACGACGACGACGACGACGACGACGACGACGACGACAAGGACCACAAGGATCAGCCCAGCGGAGGGCCCACCCCTGCGCGGATGCAAGCAGCCGGAGAGCGAGAGAGAGCGCGAAGAGCGCAGGCCCGAGACGCCGGGCCTCTGGAGAGGCCGCCGCGTCCCGCGTTTCCCGGGACCCGGCGCCTGACGTCCGGCGCAGGAGGCCCGGCACCCGGCCCAGGGCCCAGGAAGCCAGGGCTCCGTCCTCCTCCTCCTCCTCCTCCTCCTCCTCCTCCTCCTCCTCCTCCTCCTCCGTCCTCCTCCTCCTCCTCCTCCTCGTCCTCCTCCTCCTCCTCCTCTTCCTCCTCCTCCTCCTCCTCCTCCTCCTCCTCCTCGTCCTCCTCCTCCTCCTCCTCCTCCTCCTCCTCCTCTCCTCTTCCTCTTCCTCCTCCTCCTCCTCGTCCTCCTCCTCCTCCTCCTCCTCCTCCTCCTCCTCCTCCTCCTCGTCCTCCTCCTCCTCCTCCTCCTCCTTCCGCATCGAGGCCTCCCGGATGGGCTCCGAGTAGACAGGGTCGATGGGTTGCGCCGCATCGCCGGTGCATCGGCGATGCGGTTCGATGGTGGAGCCCGATGTTCTCCACGTCGACGGCGCCGATGCACCGCGGACGCCGACGATGCATCGCCCGTACATCACCGATGCATCGCCAGTGCATCGCCGATGCTTTATCGATGCGGCGCGATCCTCCGACCCCATCTACTTCAACCCCATCCAGGAGGCCTCTACTGCAGCTTCCAGCCGGAGAGACCGGAGAGAGGGAGGGAGGGAGGGAGGGAGTGTCCTGACCCCCGGCTGCTGTTGTCCTCTCGCGGGCGTGCCAGAAGCCCTGGTGCATCGAGCAGTCCCCGATTGCGGGCCCTGGGCCCAGTAAAACGACGCGAAGATCGGGACAAAGTCGGATCGGGATAACTCGAAATCTCTGAGAATCAGCGGGTTTGGAGGATGTATTGGGCGCCGCGGCCGCTCCACAGCGTTCCGGAACGCTCTGAAAGCGCTCCAGAACGCTATGGAGCGATTTATCCCGATCCTAGCCCTGTTTTATGCGGGCCCTGGGCCCAGGGGCCTCGCGTCCACCGGCGCATTTCGGCACACCCGTCGCGCGGATCGCGCGCCCTGGGGAGCCTGGTGACTCCCTCCAACCCTGAGGGAGACATCTTCTTGACTGGCAGTCTTGAATCATCTGCAGGGCCCAGAGAGGGACGGAATCGTGGCCCGGGGGCCCGGGAAGGCCGCCTACGACGAATTGCACCAGGACTACTCGGAGTCCGTCTCCGCGCTGCAGCGAGCCATCGAGGTGCTGAAGGCCAAGGCGCACGATCTGCCGCAGGCGGACCTGGCGCAGGTCTCAGCCCTGCAGGAGCACTGGCCTCCGGAAATGGGGCCGAAGCGGGTGTCGTGTCGGAGGATCGCCGATGCATCGGAGAGGCGGCTCGATGCCCAGACCCCCGACGTCGTGATTTTTTCATGACGTCGACCCCCAGAGGTCTGGACCCTTTCCCCAGGACCGGTTTTTCATCCTGAGTCGTTTTTGACGCTCCCGCGGCCCGGTGAGGACCTCCGGAGGGCAAAAATAGCGAAAAACCTTCCGTCGTGATTTTTTCACGACGCGAGGGGGTCTGGATGTGGAGCCCGATTCTCTCCGCGCCGACGACGTCGATGCATCGCCGACGGACCGACGGCGCCGATGCATCGGCGGTGCGTCGGCGGTGCGGCCCTCCGACCCCATCTGCCGGGGCCCTGTTTGCAAGGGAGGCCCAGCATTAAGTCGGGCGTGTCCCTCTACAGGGGGAATATTCAAAAATAGTAATTATATATAGTCTGGGGACATTTGTTTTACTTTTTTTGAGTATTTAGGGGGGTGTGTTTGCTAGTATTCTGCATTCTTCGCCCAAAATCCCCCTGTATGGGGGACACGCCCGACTTACGCCCAGCAGGAGAGGAGGCTGATCCCCGAAGCGTCCAGGCGGGCCCTCGCCGCCTTCCTCCAGGAGGGCCAGGCTCAGGAGGGAGAAAAACACACAGACACAATTCATCGTCGATTCCCCCGAAAATTTGGGAAAATATAGAGGGGAGGGGAAGACAGAAACCCAGAAAATATAGAAAAATACGGGGGACCCTGTTATTTGTGTCTATTTATTTGTGTGTCCCAGGGCCCCTTCACAGGCCCCGACGGCGCCGGACGCCATGGGCTACGAGTTCCACGCCCACGGCATCATCTCGGGCCGAACGAAAGGGGGGGATAGGGCAAGGGGGGGGGGTACGAAATCTGCTGCATGCAGCTGGTTTCGGCCCCTCCGCCTGGCCCAGTCCTCGATACATGGGCGCCTCCCGGCGCCGGCAGGCGCCGGGAAAGTCAGCTACGTGAGCTGATTCTCAACCCCGCTTTTGCGATCCCCCCCTCTCGCCCGGCCCGATCATCGAGATGCTGGAGAAGCTCCTCGACAAGTTCCAGGGCGAGCGCACCAGCATCGAGAACCAGGAGAGGACCAGCGCACACGAGTTCGACATCCTCGTCAAGGACCTCGCCGCCCAGATCAACAACGCCAAGGATTATGATGTTCCAACCTACTTTAGCAGCCTTGATCACCAGAAACAATTTCGAGCACCCGGAAAAATACCGGAACTCGAGGGTTTTCACGTGTCGGGCCTTGGGAGACACTCGTCCGACACTGTTTCGATACTATTTCGACACTCTTCCGGATGCCCGATATTATTTCTGGGATGTAGTCCTTAAGTACGATGGGAGCAACATAAGCCAAGGAGCGCCTGAGCGTGATCGTGCCCGCTCGGGCCAAGCTCCTGGAGGACGCAGCTGCCGCGCAGGCAGAGATGGAGGAGACGATGGCCACGCGTGACGAGGACAAGAAGTACCTCGCCAACCTGCAGGCAACCTGCGCGGCGAAGGGTGACCAGTTCGAGTCGCGCCAGCAGCTGCGCGCGGAGGAGATAGTGGCCATCGAGAAGGCCATCGAGATCATCCGGGGCGAGACCGTCAAGGGGTACGCGGAGAAGCACCTCCCCACGCTCGCGCAGACCCTGGGCGGCGGGCACTCCCTGGCGGCCTTCCGCTCCAACGTGCAGGCCCCGCAGGCCCAGAAGCGGGTGGCCGACTTCTTGCGGCGCCAGGCCGGCAGGACGGGCAGCCGGGTGCTGTCCATGCTCGCCACGCGCGTGGAGGCGGACCCGTTCGGCAAGGTCAAGCAGATGATGCTTCTCGCTTCGCGGGGTGCACGTCCTGCCTCTGCGCATCCCCCGCGGCCCTCCTCCCTCCGCCAACGCCTCAACCTTTCTCCTCTCTGCCCCTGCTCCGCCCTCATTTTCTCCCCCCGCATTCGTCTCCCCGTCCTCCTCCGCGTTGTTCCCCTCCCCCGGGCCCCTCCCCATGTCCTGGCTCCCTGCAGCTCTCATGTGGCCCTCAGGGGCCGTCTTGGGGCTCTCTTGGGGCACTCTTGGGTGCATCTGTGGGTCCGCTTGGAGCATCTTTGGGGCTCTTTGGGCACTCTAGGGATCCTCTGGGGGCAGTTTGGCCATATTGGAGCCCTCTTTGGCAGTCTTGGGCCCTTGTGGGGCCGGGGCCGCATTTGGAATGTCCTAGGCTGTCGTGGGGCTTTATTCGGGCCTCACTGGACCATTTTGGGACCCCATTTGGCTCCCTCGAGGTCCTCTTGCAACCATTTCGAGCCGAGACAGTGGGAATTGGACAACACATACAAAACAAATGTTCTGTTGTTCGAGAGTGATTTTGGCCATCTGGGGATCATCCTGTCCCACTCTGTCTTCTCGGGCTGGGTGAGGGATTCATTGAAGCCCTCTTGGAACGTCTTTCAGGCCTCTTGGGGGGCCTCTTCGGCTCTTCGGGGGCGTCTCGGGCCCTCTGGATGCCATCTTGTCGCCCTCTCGTCTGGTGTCTTGGGACGGCTTGCTGACCTCTTGTGCAGTCTTCGGGGTCCTTCCCGAAGTCCTCTTGGGAATCCCGGCAAAAAGGTCTGGAGACCAGCTTCAGCAACAAACAGAATTTGACGATCCCGGTGAGGACCCCAAACAGTGAATGTGTGCAAACTATGTGAGGCGCTCCAGAATGGGGCTTGACGGCCGATGATCCAAGGAGTTGCCATCTCTTCCTCGGCGGAAGGCTGGTGGAAGGCGGCGGAAGTACAAAGTGGCCCCCCGAGAGATGGAAACGTTTTCGGGTTCAGGGTGCCGGGGATTCGCCATATGACACACTGAAGTTGACGATCCCCGTGTGGACCCCGAACAGCGCGCGTGTGTGTGTGTAAAGTGTGTGGCGCAGTGCAGACAAAAGCAAGAGCAGCACAAGGCAGGGCGGCAACCAGGGCGGGGACGCCCACGAGCCGAGCTGTCCGGAGGTGACGGCCAGGGGGGCGGACCGTCCGGGGGGGGGCGTCCAAGGGGCCGAACATTTGGAACTCGGGGCCAGCTTGTCTTGGCATCGCTCGGACGTGTGCACTTTTTGTCGGCGAGGGCCATCGACGCGCATCCTGGATCATCGAGCAATAAAAACAAAGACGGGTGCGAAACCGAGAAATGCAGGAGGAATGGGCGTCCGCGCGATGGCAAGTTCTACAAGAGAAGCAAGGAGCCCAGGGTGCAGGCACCGTTTGGGACAGTTGACGGTCTGCGGCCGCTCTGAGAGCCACTCGTGCACAGTGGAAACCCATGCCAAGAAACACCCTGTTTGCCTCCAGGGTGCCCTGGGTTTCTTGGGTTTCGATGGTTTTGCTGTGGAGAGCGTGACGTTCCCACCAAAAAATCAATGGACATCCTGGGGTCTCAGGGTCGGGTTTCTTGTGGAAGGTTTCTTGTGGTCGAGCTCCTACTGTACAAGAGAAGCCCGAAACATAGGGTGCCGGCACCGTTTGGGGAGTTTGACGGTCTGCGCCGCTCTTGGAGCCGCTCGTGCATTTTGGGGGGCCTCTGTTGGCGACCAGTGGGGCTCCTTTGGGGACCGCCTGCAGCGCCTTGGGAGCCTTGGGAACTTCCTGGGCCCGCGAGACAAGCTGGGAGGTCTTGAGCCGTGTCTGGAACCACCTGACACCCCCTCGCGCATCCCCTCCAGACCGGCAAACCCGACTCCCGCTGGACCAGTTTGGGGAGGGGGAGTGATCTCACATGCATAGGTCACCCTTGAGGGGTCGGCGAATCAAGGACCTCATCACCCGGCTGATGGAGGAAGCTTCGGACGAGGCGGAACACAAGAGCTGGTGCGATTCCGAGTTGTCCACCAACGAGCAGACCCGGAAGGAGAAGACAGCGCAGGTCGAGACCCTCCATGCGGAGAAGGACCAGCTGGAGACTTCCATCGCCAAGTTGGCTTCGGAGGTTGCCTCGCTCACCGAGCAAATCGCTGAGCTGGACAAGGCCATGGCCGAGGCTACCGAGCTGCGCACGGCGGAAAAGGCGAAGAACGAGGAGACCATCGACGAGGCCCAGCAGGCCCAGAAGGCCGTCGCACGGGCACTCGTCATACTGAAGGACCTCGGGCGACGAGGATCCTGCCCCTGCACCGAGCCTGGCCGGGCCCCTCCTGGCCCCGGGACCGGTGCAGGGGCCTCCATTGCCGAGCCAGCAGGGCGCACGCACCGATCCCGGGCCCAGCATATGGGCCAGTCCAGGGCCGGCGCGGGTGCCCACGCGCCCCCCCTTTTGCCTTGCCTCTACACAGGCCTGGCATCGCTCGGACATGTGTGTTTTTCTCTGGGCGAGGACCCTTGAAGGCCATCCTGGACCATCGAGCAAAAAACGCGCGCACGGAACCGACAAATGCACGGGAAATGGACGTCCGAGCGACGGCAAGTGCCTCTTTTAGGAGTTCTACGCCAAGGCCGCCGAGGCCACGGCGCTCGTGCAGCAGGAGCCCCTGGGCCGGGTGGCCCCCCCACGCAACGCGGACATCCCCGAGATGTACAAGGATGCCTACAGGGGCATGGGCGGCGAGGCGGGAGGCGTCGTCGGCATGCTCGAGGTGATAGAGACGGACTTCGCCCGCCTGGAGGCGGACACCAAGGCAGCGGAGGCGGCGGCGCAGAAGGAGTACGACGAGTTCATGGCCGACTCCAAGGCGGACAAGGCCGCCAAGGAGCTGGAGGTCGAGAACAAGAACTTCAAGAAGCAGGACGAGGAGCAGGCCCTCGTGGTCTGCACGAAGAACCTGGAGGGGACCCAGAAGGAGCTCACCGCCTCCCTGGAGTATTTCGACAAGCTGAAGCCGTCTTGCGTAGAGGTCGGCGTGAGCTACGAGGAGCGTGTGGAGCGCCGCAAGGAGGAGATCGCCTCTCTGACAGAGGCGCTTAAGATCCTGAGCGGCGAGGACATCGAGTGAGCGGGCAGCACGGCGCCAGGGCCCCTTCGGGCGCCTCTAGGAGGTGGGGGGATTGTCAGCCCAAAGCAATATTGAGGAAAAGATCTGTCCCAGGGGTGTCCCGCGGGTGTCCCGCCGGTATCCTGTCTGTGTCCCGTCGGTGTCCCGTCGGTGTCCCGCAGCGCGATCAATACTGAGATCGATAGTGATACCGATAATGAGATCGATCGAGTGAGATCGATACTGAGGTCGATCGAGTGAGATCGATAGTGAGAGCGATAGTGAGATCGACAGTCAGATCGATAGCGAGATCGACAGTGAGATCGATGGTGAGATCGATCGCGAGATCGATAGTGAGATCGATGGTGAGATCGATCGCGAGATCGATAGTGAGATCGATAGTGAGATCGATAGTGAGATCGATAGTGAGAGGGATAGTGAGATCGATAGTGAATAGATTATGGGATCGATCGAGTAAGATCGATCGTGAAGTCGATTGAGTGAGACGTGGTCCCCCCCGCCCCCCGAACCTCCTTATCACCCAAAGGGTGGTCGTATAGGTAAGAGCAGGGCCGGTCCCTGCTAAGAAGCCCCCCCGCCTGCGTAGAATGCCGCCCTCCTCGCCATGCCCCCTCCTCGTCGTCCGCCCCCTCGTGTTCCACTTGGTTGTCTCCCCCCCCGCGCCCCCCCAGACGCATCATGTCAGGTAAGAATCGGTTCACTGCCGACTCGGCCAGTCCAGAGCAGAGGAGGCACGTAGCTGTCGCGCAATGCATTACTATAGGCGAGTTACAACATGAGACGAGTCATTGCAGACAATGGGCGCCGGCAGTGAGAGGAAGCGCGCAGCTGTGCCCCATCAGTTGCTGGAAGAGTAAGACGACGAGTAAGGCGAGGACGAGGACGAGGAGTGAGCTCAGGGATGGCTTACATTCTGACGCTCTGTGTTGACATGCGCATCGCGCAGGGCATTTAGTTGGCGGAATACACGCCTCGGATCCACCCACGTGGAAGGCACGCGCAGTCTGTGTGGCATAGCGGGTGTATCGCTGACCAGGCATGGCAGGATTTGCCAGGCCCGTATTTGGCGTGTCATGGTGGTCACATGACATGGACCACCACCGGTAGTTATGATGTTAGTAGTGATGTGATATTTTGCAAGCGTGAGCCGGAAGCAGTGAGTTCGTGACCTCTGGATGTGCAATCCATGTGAGGCAATACACGTTGTGCATGCGATGAGGTGCAAGCTACGTGTTGCAATATACACTGCGCAAGCTTCGTGGGCAAGCAATGAGATGCACTCCGTATGACACAATATATGTGTAGATTTATATGGTACAATGCAAGTTTAGAATAAATGTGGTGCCATCGATGTGTGCACCCAGAAACGCCCAGCCACCCACTCGGCGCCCACAAGGCGCCCACGGTCCACCAGACTACTACGACTAATACGGCGCCCACAAGGCGCCCACGGCCGACTACTACTACTACTACTACTACTACTACTACTACTACTACTACTACTCCTACTCCTACTCCTACTCCTACTCCTACTACTACTTCTCTTACTACTACTACTACTACTACTACTACCACCACTACTACTATTACTACGACGACGACGACGACGACGACGACGACGACGACGACGACTGCTACTACTACTACTACAACGATTACCGGTACTACTACTACTACTACTACTACTACTACTACTACTACTACTACTACTACTCTTACGACTACTACTACTACTACTACTACTACTACTACTACTACTACTACTACTACTACTACTACTACTACTACTACTACTACTACTACTACTACTACTACTACTACTACTACTACTACTACTACTACTACTACTACTACTACT